CAAAGCCTGATTTGTGATATTGTGAGCAATATTCATAAAGTACATTAATATGTTAAAAGTTACATGGACACAGAGCCACAGTAGAACACACTTGCAATGTGTTAACACTTTCAGGGAAACAAAAATAGCAAGAATATTTTGCAAGAAAACAAACAATGTGAAAATAAACAAGTGAGAGATTGTAGGCAATGGAGCCCATAGCTAAAATTTCAAGTCATTAATATTATGTTTAAAGCAAAAGACTGGAAGAACATGCTCAAACTAATAAACCACTCTTTTTCATTTCCTCTAATGAAAAAACAGTGTGACACATTAAAATCTTTTATCTTTAATATATGAGGGAAGCAGTCATCCTTGTTAACTTCAGTACAACACTGCATAATAGTTAACTCCTATTGTGGTGGTGGAGTATGAATTTTAATCCACAAACTCAGTTGTGCATAATACATCACAATTTAAATTTTCCTTAGAGCCACTTATTTCCAACAGAATACAGAAAAGGTGTTCATAATATAATTTCATCTATACAAAATGGTGTTCCTAATAAAATATTATTTAAATCTTTTTAAAAGGTAATTGGCCAATTAAACAAAAATAATAATAATACAACATGGGGATTTAAAACATGTGTAAAAGTAAAATGTGTGATAACAAAGACATAGACTGGGGGAAGAGAAATGCAGCCATACTCTCAATAGCTTTTAATAATATATGTGTGGTGACATAATATCACTGGAACATCAACTGTGATAAAAGAAAGATATATGCCATAAACCATTACGATAACAAAGAAACCACTTAAAATGAAGAAACAAGGAGTACTGTTATGTCAAAAAGGATAATAAATGAAATTATGAAAAATATTCAGTTAATCAAAAGGAAGACAAAAAAAGGGGAAAGAAAACAACAGGTGAGACAAATAGAAGAGAAAGAAGAAGATTATAGATTTCAACCTAAACACACGAATAATATTGAAAGTAAGTGATCTAAATAACACAGTTGAAATGCAAGATGCAAGTATATGTTACCCGTAAGAAAACTATTTTTAGCATAAAGACACAAAGAGTTTAAAAGTAAAAAGATAGAAAAAGTTATAAATACTAGTATTTAGATAACACAAATCCAAATAAAGCTGGAGTGACTACAGTAATATCAAGACAAAATAGATGACAGAGTGAAGAATATTATTAGGGATAATAAAAGTCATTTCATAGCGATAATAAAGTTAATTCATCAAGAACAACAACAAAAAAAGCCTGAACATGTATGCACCTATTAAGAGAGCTACAGAAACATGATGCAAAAAACTGACAGAATAGCAGGAAGAAATAAACAAATCCAGAATATAGTCATAGATTTCAATACCCCTCTTTCAGTAATTGATACATCAAGGTGATGTAAAATCAACAAGAATATAGGAGATTCGAACAACACTTGACCTAATAAATATTTGTAGAACACTGTACCTAACAGGAATAGAATACACATCCTTTTCAAATATACATGGAACATTTACCAAGATAAACCATATTCTAGGCCATTAAAATGTCACAATAAATTTAAAAGAATTCAAGTCATACCAGGTATATTCTCTGACCACAATGGAATTAAATTGGGAATTAATAACCAAAGGATCTCCAAAAAATTCCCCAAATATTCAGAAACTAATTATATACTTCTATATAACCTATATGTCAAAAAATAAAAGAGAAATTAGAAAAGATTTTGAACTGAATGAAAAAAATAACATGATGTATTCTTATATTTGTAGTAGTCTACTAAAGCAATAGTTAAGAAGAGATTTATAGCACTAAACACCTATATTTTTAAAAAGTCACAAATCAGTTATCTCAGTTTCCACCTTAAATAACCAGGAAAGAAGAGCACATTAAATCCAAAGTAAGTGGAAGGATTAAAATAATAAAGACTAAAGAGAAATCAATGAAATATAAAACAGAAAAACGACAGAGAAAAATCAATGAAACCAAAAGTTAGTTCTTTCGACAGATTAACAAAATTGATAAGCCTCTAGTCAGACTTACTAGGAAAAAACAGAAACGATACAAACATGTTAATATTATTAATAATTATGGAAATGCAAAATAAAACCAAAAGAAGATACCACTATACACCTATTATCATGACTAAACTTCAAGACTGACCATAACAAGTATTGGTGAGGACTTGAAGCAAATGGAACTCAACACTGCTTCCAGGAATAGAAAGTGGTACAGCCACTCTGGAAAACAGTTTGGCAGTTTCTTGAAAGATTAGACATACCTACTACATGATCTAGTTATTCCACTTCTAGGAATTTTTCCAGGAGAAATTGAAGCACATATCCACACAAAGATTAGTACACAAAGTTTATGGCAGCTTCATTTGTAATGTCCCAAAATGGGAACAACCCAAACGTCCATTAACAGGTGAATGGATAATCAATTGCGGTAAATTCATGCAAATAGAATACTACTCTGCAATTTAAAAATAATGAACAATTGATACATGCTACAGCATGGATGGATCTCAAAATAGTTATACTGAATGAAAGAAGCCAGACCCCCCAAAAAATATATACTGTATAATTCTATATATATAAAATTGTAGAAAATGCAAACTAATCTACAGTGACAGAAAGCAGATCAGTCATTGCCTGTTGGAAGGAAATGAGAGGAGATTACAAAGAGACATGAGGAAACTTTGACAAATAACGGATAGGTCCATTTTCAGTGACGGATGCATGGAGATACACAGAAGTCAAAATCTATCAAATTGTACACTTAAAATATGTGCAATCAATTGTATGTCAATTACACAACAATTAAGCTGTTTTTAAAACTCATGGACAAATATGAGTAAAGACATAAATACAGTAAATAAAAAGTTTATTTCTTACCTGTCATTCACACCAATCAAGACAGGAGATACTAATTTATTTAGGTCTTTGTAGGATTATCAATAAAGGTACAGGAGATCCATCTGAATTTGTGTTATTATATGTCTAAAATAACCTGAGATACACTGCATGAGTTTTTTATAAATTCATTAAGAAAACAAGATTATTGTGTTTCTGACAATTTGCAATAAAAACCCAACCTAGAATTTTTCTTGCCCACTATCTTTAACACCATACCTATGGTAGTTCTAGTTTTGGGATTCATTGTGCATGGTGTAAGTTTTGATGCACTTTGTCTCATGTTTTACACAATCAAATAAGAATATATTTGTATGACTTGGGACTTTTCTATTTGCAGTTCAGATTAAATAAGACTGAGAATTTCTGACTACTTATAACTAACACTTGCAGAAGCAATGCTTACAATTCGTAAAGTGTTCTTTGGGGAACTGCACCCGATAAATGTTACAATCCTAGTTTGTTGCAGCTTCAGTTGTAATTCCTCTCTGAAATTCAGTGGGTGAAAAATGGGAAAAGATCAGGCTGCTAGAGAGAGGGATAAAGTAAGGCACATATGATTCTTGGATTTTTATTACAAACAAAATAAAAAATTACATGAGAGAGTTTCTTTATATTATTTTCTGAATTCTGCCCACTTTCCTGTGGAAAAACCTAAATCCCTCTTCCAGTCTTGCAATCTCTTCGTCTGCATCAAGCCTACATCTTCAAAAAATTCCTAGACTGAAGTAATTAAATCAGGTACCATCTTAGCATGCAAAGTCTTTGAATTATATAATACACTGAAGACAGATTCAGGTTTATGTTCTCCAAGTGGCTCATAAAGCATTACCAAGACTAAGTTCTCAGTTGATCAATAAATTGGTGTCTACTATGGTTATGCATATCTTTTTGTGTATATCAACGTTTAAAATGTTGTACTGTTATTTATAAATATCCTTTATTTCAAAAAATTTCAAAACCGTCACATCAATTATGTGTTTTTATCGATTTGCTTGATCTGCATAAGGGTGTTCTCTGTTTCATATCCATTTGTATCTAGTTATCTCTCTTCGCCTCCAAACATTGAAACAGAAACAGTGTTGAGGTAAAGAGCCCTAGCCCAGCCTCACCACACACTAGCCTCAGTCTTGGGCAACATTCCACCTCTTCTGCATGATTCCTCGAACCGTGCATAGGGATGTCTGTTGTTCACAGGGTCGCTGTGAGGATTGATCAGGGTAATTAGATATAGATCTTATCCTTTAGCCCAGCACATAGTGAGCAGTCAAAAAATAAATAAACAAGAACACCTTTGAACTGCAAAAACATTAGGGCAGGGCCCACCAAGTAGTTATAATTATCTTATTACATGAATGCATCCTAGCAGGAGTGGAATACTTGAAAATTATTATTTAATCAAAATTAATATTTCTTAAAAAGGCAGAGAAGGCCTAAAAAGAATATAATGAAATGTATTATATTGAAATGAAATGAAATGAAATATTATGAAATTGAAAATATATATAAAATAAAAAGACTTAGTTTAAATTTCAACTTTAGCACATTAAACAACTAATTCTGGTTGCTTATTTTATTCTAACCAGCTGATTTGTAGTTTGTAAATTGGACATGACCTGTTCATAGTAGATGCTTGGTGAATGCATACTGAGAGATTACTCACAGATATTGTCTACAAAAGCATTTTCAATACTTTTATCTGTCTGATAGAATAAGATCCCTTTACTTTGGGGAAAAACCATAAAATTGAGTGATATTTCTCACTTTATGGGTCATTATTACTCATGTAGTAGTATTTCTCATTAATGATAAACAAGTGGAGCAAATGTGGCTCTGCAGGGCAATTGTTGCATTAAAACCTGAACTGCAAATATTTAATGCTCACAAGAATTTTTCTCCCTCCCCACCCATGTCCACTTTGGTGACAGACCCAAGAGAACCCTATATCCACTTACAGAAAACCAGTGCTGAAAATTCCACACGGCTGACAACTACAACATATCTTGAATTTTACTTTTTTCCCAAGCAAAATGCCATTGTCTGTAATGTTCATAGTCCTTTAAAGATTATTTTGTTCATTTCACAGGTCTCCTGTTATGGCTGGAGGTCTCTTTGCTGTGGATCGGAAATGGTTTTGGGAGTTGGGTGGCTATGATCCAGGTTTAGAAATCTGGGGCGGAGAACAGTATGAAATCTCTTTTAAGGTAAGCCCCAAGACCCTCTTCACACTATGTCTACATAATTTTGACAATTCTGATAGAATATCAGCATGTGGCTTTATGACCTATGTTCTGGGATGACTTAATAATGATAATAGACATGTCACCTTCCCAAGTGAGCTCTTGTCGTTTCTTTCTTTTTTGGTTTTTGTTTTTATTTTTCTTGATATATAATCATTATACATATTTGTGGGGTACATGTGAAATTTTGATATATGTATGCAGTACATAATGATCAAATCAGGGTAACTGGGATATCCATCACCTCAAACATTCATCTTTTCTTTGTGTTGGAGATATTACAATTCTTCTCCTCTAGCTATCTTGAAATATACAATAAATTATTGTTAACTATAATCTCCCTACTTGTGTAAGGCCATTTTTGCATTGCTATAAAGAAATATCTGAGACTGAGTAATTTACAAAGAACAGAGGTTTAATTGGCTCACAGTTCTGCAGGCTGCACAAGAAGGTGGTGCTGGCATCTGCTTCTGGTAAGGGCCTCAGGAAGCTTTTAATCACTGTGGAAGGCAACAGGGAGCCAGCATGTCACATGGTGAAAGCAAAAGCAAGAGACACAGGGGTGAGCTGCTACACACTTTTAAACAACCAAATCTCACGAGAACTCACTCACCAGGAAGGGGATGGCGCTAAACCTAATTCATGAGGAATCCGTTCCTCATGATCCAAACACCTCCCACCAGGCCTCACCTCCAACACTGGGGACCACATTTTGACATAAGATTTGGAGGGGACAAACAACCAAACTATATCACTACAGTACTGTCAAATACTAGAACGTATATCTTCTATTTAACTGTATTTCTGTACTTATTAACCAAATTTGCTTTTTACCCCCTCCCCACCCCCACTCCCTTCTATTTCCAGCCTCTGATAACCACCAGTCTACTTTCTACCTCCATGAGATCAATTTGTTTAGCTCCCCATATGAACTAGGACATGGGATGTTTTTCTATGCCTGACTTATTTCACTTAAAATAATGAACTTCAGTTCCATCTATGTTCCTGGAAATCATAGTATTTCATTCCTTTTTATGACTGCATAATATTCCATTGTGTGTATATACTACCTTTTCTTTATCCATTCATCCAGTGATGGACACTTAGGTAACTATTGAGACCATCGCCACAAAAAAAACGGGAATGCAGATATCACTTCTACATACTGATTCCTTTTCTTTTGAAAATATACCCATCAGTAGGATTACTAGATTATACGGTAGTTCTATTTTAGTATTTTGAGGACCCTCCATACTCTTTCCCCTAATTTCCATATTACTTTGTATTTCCACCAACAGTGTAGGAGCATTCTCCTTTCTCTGCATCCTTGCCAGCATTTTTAAATTTTTGTCTTTGAAATAATAGCCAGTTTAACTTGGATAAGATATAACCTCAATGTGGTTTTGATTTGCATTTCTCTGATGACTAAAAATGTTGAACATTTTTTGTATACCTGTTGGCCATTTGTATATCTTCCTTTGAGAAATGTCTATTCAGGTATTTGACTCATTTTTAATTGAATTATTTGAGAGGTTTTACTATTGAGTTGTTTGAGTTCATTATATATTCTGGTTATTATTTTCTTGTCAGATGGATAGTTTGCAAATATTTTCTCCCATCCTATAGGTTGTCTCTTCACTTTGTTGATAGTTTCCTTGCTCTACAGAAACTTTCTAGCTGGATGTAAATTTGTCTTTTTTTGCTTTTGTTGCATGTGCTTTTGAGGTGTTACCCAAAAAACTCTTTGCCCAGACTAGTGTCCTGTAGTGTTTCCCCAGTGTTTTCTTCTAGTAGTTTCATAGTTTGGGGTCATATAGTTAAGTCTTTAATCTATTTTTGGTTGATTTTTGTACATGATCAAAGATAAAGATCTAATTTCTTTTTTCTTCTTATGGATATCCCATTTTCCAAGCATCATTTATTGAAGAAACTGTACTTTTCCCCATTGAATGTTCTTGGCACCTTTGTCAAAAATAATTTGGCTGTAAGTGCATGGATTTACTTCTGGGTTCTCTATTTTGTTCCATTGGTGTATGCATTGTTTTTATGCCAGTACCATGTTATTTTGGTTACTATAGCTTTGTGGTATAATTTGAAATCAGGTAATGTGATGCCTCCTGCTTTGTTCTTTTTGTTCAGGACCACTTTAGCTATTTAGGTCCTTTTCTTATTCCCTTCAAATTTTTGGATTTTTTTTCTGTCTCTTGTGAAGAATGTCATTGGTAATTTGATATGGATTACATTAATTATTTATATCATTTCAGATAGTGTAGAGATTTTGACAGTATTAATTCTTCCAATCAATGACCATGGTATATCTTTCCATTTTTTATGTGTCTTCGATTTCTTTCATCATTGGTTTGTACAGATTACTTCACTTCTTTAGTTAAATTTATTCTTAGGTATTTTTGAGCTATTATAAATGGAATTGCTTTCTTGATTTCTTTTCAGATTGATTTCTGTTAGTGTACAGCAACTTTATTGAATTAATTCATCAGTTCCAAGAACTTTTGGTGGAGTCTTTAGGTTTTTCTAAAAATAAGATCATGTCATCTGCAAAGATATTTTAACTTCTTCCATTACAACTTTGATGCCCTTTGTTTCTTTTTCTTGCCTAATTACTCAGGCTAGGACTTTCAGAACTAGGTTAAATAAAAGTGTTGAAAGTGAGCATCCTTGTCTTGTTCCAAATCTTAGTGGAAAAGCTTTCAATTTTCCCCCTTTCAGTGTGATTTTACATGTGGATTTGTAATGTATGGCTTTTATCATATTGAGGTATTTTCTTTCTACATCCAATTTATTAAAAGTTTTTATCATAAAAGAATGTTAAATTTTACCAAATACTTTTTCAGCATGTATCAAAATGATCATAATCTTTTTATCCTTGATTCTCTTGGTGTGATATATCACATTTATTGATTTGCATATGTTGAACCATCTTTGCATCTTTAGGATGAAGCCCACTTCATTATGGTGAATGTTCTTTTTAATGTCTTATTGAATTATGTTTTGTTTAGGGTTTTCACATCTATGTTTATGAGGAATATTGGCCTATAGATTTTGTATGTGTATGTACTTGTCTAGTTTAAGTATCAGGATAATACTGACATTATAGAATGAGTTTGGAAGAATTCTCTCCTCTTCGATTTTTTGAAATAGTTACAGTAGAATTGGTATTAGTTCTTCCTTAAAAGTTTGGTAGAATTCAGTAATTAATCCGTCAAGTGTTGGGCTTTTCTTTGCTGGGAGACTATTACTGCTTTGATTTCATTATTCATTATTGATCTCTTCAGGTTTTCTTTTTTTTTTTTTTTTTTTTTTTTGAGACGGAGTGTCACTCTGTCGCCCAGGCTGGAGTGCAGTGGCCGGATCTCAGCTCACTGCAAGCTCCGCCTCCCGGGTTTTCGCCATTCCCCTGCCTCAGCCTCCCGAGTAGCTGGGACTACAGGCGCCCGCCACCTCGCCCGGCTAGTTTTTTTGTATTTTTTAGTAGAGACGGGGTTTCACTGTGTTAGCCAGGATGGTCTCGATCTCCTGACCTCGTGATCCGCCCGTCTCGGCCTCCCAAAGTGCTGGGATTACAGGCTTGAGCCACCGCGCCCGGCCCAGGTTTTCTTTTTCTTCATGGTTCAATCTTCATAGGTTGTGTATTTACAAGAATTTATCTATTTCTTCTAAGTTTCCAATATTTTGGTGTATAGTTGTTCATAATAGTCCCCAACAATCCTTTGTGCTTCTGAGGTCTCAGTTGTTATGTCTCCTTTTTCACTTCTGATTTTATTTATTTGAGTCTTCTCTCCTCCATTCTTAGTCTAGCTAAAGATTTGTTACATTTGTTTATCTGTTTAAAAAATTGGCCAGGCGCTGTGGCTCACAACTGCAATCCCAGCACTTTGGGAGGCCAAGGCGGGCAGACCACAAGGTCAGGAACTCGAGACCAGTCTGATCAACATGGTGAAACTCCGGCTCTACTAAAAATATAAAATTAGCTGGGCATGGTGGCGCATGCCTCTAATCCTAGCTACTCAGGAGGCTGAGACAGGAGGATCACTTGAACCTGGGAGGCGGAGGTTGCGGTGAGCTGAGATTGCACCATTGCACTCCAACCTGGGCAACAAGAGCAAAAAACTCTGTCTCAAAAAAAAAAAAAAAAAAAAAAAAATCAATTTTACAGTTCATTGATCTTTTGTATTATTTTATAGTATCTATTTTTAAGTTCAACTTTTATTTTAGATTCAGGGGATACACGTGCAGGATTGTTGCAAGTGAATATTGTGTGCTACTGCAGTTTGGGTTATAATTGAATGCATCACCCAGATAGTGAGCATGGTATCCAATAGGTAGTTCTTTAACCATTGACCCCCTACTCCCCACCCCTCTTGTAGTGATCAATGACTTTTGTTCTCTTATTTATTTCCATGTGTACCCAATGCTTATCTTCCTCTTATAAATGAAAACGTGGTATTTGATTTTCTGTTACTGCATTAATATGCTTAGAATAATGGCCTCTAGCTGCATCCATGTTGCTGCAAAGGAAATGATTTTGTTCATTTTTTATAGCAGTGAAGTATTCCATGGTGTATATGTACCACACTATCTTTATTCAGTCCACCATTGATGGGCACATAGGTTGATTCAATGTCTTTGCTATCATGAATAGTGCTGCAATGAACATGTGAGTGCATGTGTCTTTTGGTAAAATGGTTTATTTTCCAATGATTTATTTTCCTTTGGACATATACCCAGTAATGAGATTGCTGGGTTCTATTTTTAGAACCAGCAACCAACCACCAGCATGGTAGTTCTATTTTTAGTTCTTTGAAAAGTCTCCAAATTGCTTTCCCCAGTGGCTGAACTAATTTACATTCCCACCAACAGTGTATAAGTGTTCTTTTTTCTCTGCAGCCCTGCTGACGTATTCTATTTTTACCTTTTTTTTTTTTTTTTTTTTTTTTGAGATCTAG